TTGAAAAGTGAAGCGAGTCAAGGTATCCTAATTTCCCAATTTTAATTTAATATAAAATAACTTTGGAACTTTATTTGCAGTTTAGCCTTTCTTTGTGGAATATCATTTTGGAAAAGTGAAAGAAGAATCATATCTTACTTTTTATGAGTTTGAAAATATAATATGATTCTTAGAGAAAATTCAAAATATAGAAAGAATATTAAAATATTGAATGCAATTTTTCTAATGAAATTTATCACTATATATGATATTAATGAAATGATGTTCATACCAATATTCTTCTTGAAAATCTCATTCTAAACATCTGCAACGACAATATAAAATTTATTCACCCTCCTGAATTAAATACTTAATAACAATTATATAACCACATTTCACTTAATTTACCATACATCTCCTCGTACAATTTCCAATTAAAAAAATGTACATAATAAAGAATTTCAAAAAATCTTTTACCATCTTTTACAAGTGAACAGAATATTCACAGATTGACGACAGGTCCCAGTTCCACTATCTTCAATTAATTTTCCATTATCCTGAAAATAAAATAAAATTAATTGAACGAGTCCAGTGAATTATTCAATGAAAAAAAAAAGAAAAAATTACAGAAAATAAATATTAAACAAATCCATTAGAAACCCTGCCAAATTCCATCCCATCGAATGTTCGATTAATTTTCGATTATCCCGAGAATAAAATTGGTCGTCATATAATCCCGGATCGGGAAAGGGAGAATAATATGGACAAACCTGTAGTTTGAGAACCGCCATGGGATAGATTGTACGCGCATGTCAGCGTTGCAGGGGTGGAATACGAAGAGTACTCGAGGGCGGAGCCGTTGGAAGCGTAGCCTCATGGCTACGTGTGCGTTCTCTCCTCTTCCACCTCGAACGATAACCTTTAACCTTTAACCCCCGGTCGGCCGTTAAGTTCGGCTCAACTTTCAGATTTCGAGCAAAGTTCACTCGGCTTGAAGGTTTCGCGGATTAACAAACGCCCTCCTCGAAGGCGTTTACGTTCATCGCGCGCTGTGTCCCGTTCCAAAGGGGGGAGGGACGATAGAAAATGGACATTGTTCTTTGGTAGGTGAATCTTTTGATCAGGGTTTAATAATAGCGACGCGTGGAAGATGTTTGGGATTGTACGAAGGATAGGAGAAGGGTTTGAGAACTCTGGAGATGCAATGGTAGAAAGATCTGAGTAAATGAGGAAAAGGTATGAGATCTAAAGTTGGTTATTATTTAGTTTATTATTTAGTAGATGAATAAAAGAATTTTTTTCGACAAGCTTTGTAACGAGTGGATTGTACGTGGATGTTGTTGCGTCAAGTGGATGGAAAATGGTAAAGATGAAGGGAAACGATATTGATGAGAATGGATATATTTTGGTAGATGCAGAATGCAGAAGCGTAGGATGTCGTGTTATGTGGATAAAGGGATGAGGAATGTATGATTAGAAGAAAATATCTCTTTCTTTTTTCTGTGTAATTAGACTTGATTGCCAAGTACCTTTTGTTAAATTCAAGATGATTATGAGTTACACAACTATAAAAATACAACTAAATAAAAAAGGAAATACCTTATTTAATACTACTAGAACTGCAATTCAAAAAAAAAAAAAATGCTTCTCTTACCACCTGTACAGAAGCAAATGGAAACAGATTGAAAACTCCTATAAACCTAAACCAAATAACAAATTGGCGATAACTGAATCTAAACGCAAAGGCAAACACGCATCTCGATGCGATAACATCTACAGATCCACCGGCCGATAAACCGATCAAACTGCATAATGCGATTTAAACGTCACCCTAACGAGATCAAGCCACCCCCAATCTCTCTCTCTCTCTCTCTCTCTCTCTCTCTCGTTGCGAAGGGTGCGGAACGATTAATCCGTGACTTTTCGTCCGTGATATCCTTGCCTCCACGGGAAAGCGGGACGAGGTTGGCCAGCTGTCGGCTGGGACAACGGCTGCACGTACAATATCACCCGTGGCTTTTGGGGGGCTCCAAGATGACGGCCCTCTTCCGTCGTGTTACGCCGGTTTAGGGGCGCGTCCGAGTCTCTCTCCTCCTGGCGTCAGCTTGCGAAGAAACGGACGGGCTGACCATGGAAAAACTGTCCCCCCTTCCAGGAGGGTTATTGATGTATCCGGGGGATGGAAAAAGCTTGGAAAGAGAGTTTCCTTCCCGCGGGATGGAAAAATTCGCGCGTTGCGTTTCGTTTGATTCGATTCGATATGGAATATTGAGATGAGCGAAGAAATGGTGTAGCCATCCTTGTTTCGAAGGAATTGATCCTTGATTCCTTGGAGAAGTTTGTTGGGATGTTTTACGAGGGGATGTCGTATATCGGTGTGGAGGATACATGCGATCTCGTGAAATCAAAATTATCCAATTCTTGAGGATTTTTGTATTATTATTATTATTATTATTATTGGAAATGGATGATTTTAAATTTGATTTTGGTAAATATTGAATTTGAGAATTTTGTAGGATTTGATGCCTTGGAAAATTCATTTATAATGAAACGTGTGAATTAATTCTTAATTGATCTTGTATATATATATTTAAATTTACTGAAAATCATCAGAATTATATTTTCAAAATAAATAAAATCTTACGTTTACTCGAGCAATGTATTCGCCGGCAATTTAATTTTAATATTCGTATAAAGTAATGATTGATTTTCAAAATCGATGAAAAAGATAATGAAATGAGAAATCTTTCAATAATTGTTAATGCGGTCGTGTTGGATCACATATTTTTTTTTTTTTTTTTATTTTAATTTACGAACTTATATCGCTAAATTTACATAAAATATACTTAATCGATACAACTGCGCATAATATATACTCGTGATACCGAGAAAAATATATTGCACGGACGCTACGTGCACGTATACATAAATCCTCTGACGTTTTATATATCTTTATTTTTACTTTTAGTGCACGAGACATCTTTGTGACTGCAGTAGAGAACATCGTAAATCGCACATCCTTTAAAACAAAGCGGAACGATGCATTCCCTATACGTTCGCGTGTATACGAAACTTCTTCCATTTCTTAACAAGCCAATAGATACTCGATGAAAAAGAAATCCTCGAGATGGAAGAAAAAATATTTCCCTCGACGTTCCATCCCCCCTCCCCTCAATATATTTACATTCTCTTTCTTAAAACGAATCGCACCATCATCGAATTCAAAATAGTCATCACTTCTGAACGGCGAATACAACGATGCACACGGACACACTCACACCCCTCTTTTTAAATATATCTCTCGCACAAGTTACACCATTCATTTTGTAACAAATATATCTGTATATGTATGTATATGTATATATATATATATATATATATATA